ACAACAACAACAAATAAATAAATAAATAAAAATATCACAGAAATACTGAGTTTCCAGTGATTTTCTACTAAGCAGAGTGAATCCTAGCAACTGAATCAATGAAAACTGTAAACTTTTGTGCTGTTTGGAAATAGAGTCCATATGCACATGATGTAACCATAACACGTCCCCTGTCTTTGCTCGACCTGTTATATGATTGCCGTCTGAATTGTTTGTATCCTTACCATTATCCTATCTGATAACTGTTCATTTTGCAGTGGCCAACCTAGCAGCAATCTCATATTACAGCCTAACAGTGTGTTAAGCTGTCTTTGTCAACTCTTAATCAGGGCAGAGCCTTGCGTGGTGGGTTCTAAGCATGACTTACCTTCTGCAGCTGTGCGACACACAAGATGCGTGAAGGAAAAATTGAGGCTTTTCCCAGGGGTGAAATAGGATTCCACAATTTCCCTGGATTTCTCACTGGCTTGCAAGAACAGCTTAGCATCCTTCCAGTTCACGACACCTTCTTCTGCCAGCTAGAAGATGGGAGTTAGGGAGTGGGGACAACATGAAACAGGATGCTTAATTTGTGTGATGGTCTAGGGGCACATGCATGCATATGCAAAAGAGCATTCCACAGAAAATACAGCCAAATGCTTAATAAAATGCGGTGGTGACAGAATCGTTTTCCATCCCTTTTAACAGCAGGGTGGTACTTTTCTCCCTTTCATTCCTTCAAGTTAATGTGCCCTTGTTTTTAAAGGCATCAATGAAATGAGACAAGAAAAAGCCTGCAGCACAGTAAAGACGGAACCCGGTCTGTGACTGACTGGCCTGCCAAATTCCTCCATTCGCACCATTCTTAACAGTACAGAGCCTTGTGTCCTCTTGCTGTACAATGGCCACTTTTTATAAGACTGCAAAGAGGGGGATCTAAAGTTAACACATGGTGGGAAGGGTTTTCAGGAAATGGGGCTCGAAGCCGGCATGCTCCTAATATATAGCCAAACAGGGCAGGACAGAGCAAGAACACCCTCATTTCTCCTTCTGGAGGAAACAAACATGGAAGCATATAAATGAAACACATTTAAAAAAATATCCTGCACTAGAAAGAAATGTCTTGTTTACCATGATAGCACTCTTCTCAAAGGCTTCTGCTAGGTCTCTCCTACTCTACTGCATGCAGTCTATTCAATTATTTTGGACTATCTTTTTGCTACCTCCTGTAGATTCTGTCCTCAAATGCTTCCCAGCAGGACGCTCCTGGTGCATTGTTGATACAGGCTGGTAAATACAGCCTCTATTTTTACCTTTGGGTTTGTTACTGCCTTTGTCTCACTCCTGATGATGTTTACACCCAATCTAGCAATGCATATCTTTAGCATTCAGTGTTTTTTTTTTTTTTGGTACAATCTAGTGAGGCAAGCTTACCCCTTACAAACAGCCAAAAGGAAAAGAAGCTTCAAAGAAGCACGCTTGTGTGTGTGCTCCACCCCTCCTTGGCCTGCCACAAAAAGCAACTTTACCAACCTGAAGGCTATGTAAACATAGAGATACGCTTGGAACCCTATAGGAAAAAGCAGGAGCATTTGGGTTTGGAACGGGGAAAAAAGGCAGATGAAGGGTGAGGCAGACCCTCACCCTTGCCATTTCCCATCTGATAATCACTTCCTCCTGAAATATCTTTTTCTTGGAAGAAACAAATAGGATTTTTACCACCTTATCTGAGTGGTTTCTAGTTTGTGGGCAGGTCCAAATGTCTATTCTAAAGCCATCAAAATATTTACCTGCAGAGCCTTTAACACTGTTAAGCCTTCAAATCTCTCGTGTGGGGTGTGAGGTGAACGCCTGCCACGGTAGCCATCTCCTGCTCCTCCAGCTGCCTGAAACATGCATAAACATATGAAGCACCCAAGATTGCTCTTGACTTCCCACCACCCTTTGACTGATGCCAAAGTTCTCCTTGTGTGTGTGTGCATGTTTATGTGTGTGTGTGTGTGTGTGTGTGTGTGTGTGTGTGTGACAGAGAGAGAGAGAGAGAGAGAGAGAGACTTTATTTACAGTCCACAAACCATTGTAACATTCAATAAAAACACATTCCAAAACACACATTCATAGAAATATAGATTTATACAAATATTAAACCAAGAAAACAATAAAAAATTGTATGTGGTCTAACAAGAATGGCCAAGTTCAACAAATTTGCCACTAGTTTTGTGTCTGAAATTAGAACCCTGAAGCAATGAATCCCAAGAGACTCAGAAAAGGGGTAGAGAGGAACTGAATAATAAGATATAATAGGTTTTCTCCACATCCTTTATAGAAACCGTGGTGGGAAAGAACAAGCAAAATATACTTGATGTAAGCACTGTCACAAGGACAGTATCTTAAAACGGATAATGTTAATCTTGCAAGAGAAAAAAACCTTTCTCTCTTTACGAATGGTTAACCATCCTAAAGCACAATAGCCCCAGCGACCGAGAAGAACAAGATCTCCTTTGCAGCTCCTTTAGACCTCTTGGTAATCAGTATCTACTAGTCTTTGTTCAACAGTCGGTTTAGTACCCTGTAAACCTATAGATAGCAGGTACAAGAATGAAAGACCCACTGAAGTAACCTTCTGTTCCATAGCCTCCAGCCAAATAATTCAGAAGAATCAGACACAGACTTAAAGGCCAAAGAGCTGGCATTAGTCAATTAGCTTTCCTACTGCTGGAAGTGAAGAGAGGCCAACGCTTGTCCTTACTTTAGCCAAACGAAGGATGTCTTTGCATTCGGACTCGGTCAGCACTCTGTCCAAGACAACCCGCTGGGAGCCATTGAGTTGCTGGGAGTCCATGGTGATGGTGATGCCTTCAAAGGGGAGTGACTCTGCAAAAATGAGTTGAAGAAGATGGTATAGACGGTGCATATCTGTGCCCAAGAAGTGTAAACAGACAGGGAGGACATGTCCTCTTCCGTGGTCTCGTATGTGTTGCTAGTCTCACTCTGAAGGAGCACTTCCAGTTTCTTATAAGCTGCATTCAACAGACTCCAAGTCAACTCAAGTGATCTGCACCCCAAAGCACTTTGAAACCCAACAGTATAAATATGTGCAGTGCTGTACAACTTGGCCCGAGGCTGCCAAAGGATCCAAATGTTGAGAACCAAAAATTTTCCCCCATAATTACAGGTTCTGCAGTTAACAGTTTGACACCTTCTCCAAAGCTGGCAAAGGTTTTCATGATGCCTGAATCGAGAGTAGCTCAGAGGAACGATCACACTGCGCCTTACTTCATTGGCCCATCATTATTCATTTGAAATGTCTGAATTCCAGCCTCTTCCAAAGCTCAGGATGTCCTGCAAGCGAATATCCAATAAACCCCACAAACTAAGCTAAAAGCAACAGTCATTAATATATAGCACAATTAATATATAGCACAATCTTAAAAGTCATACCATCTACACTGCCATAAGTCTTCTGGGAGAAGAAGTTTTGGATTCTCTCTCTCTCTCTCAGAAAAAAGAAAAAGAAAGAAAAGAAAAGAAAAGAAAGAAAAACTTCAGGAACAAAGCCGCTCTGAATTGCACTGGTCATTTGGAAATGTTGAAGCCATTCAAATAAATCTCCTGTTGCTCACCAACATGTTGGCTCCCTTGACTGCCATATGCAGGACCTGCTAGCTCATGCTTTCACTGTTTGCTGTACAGATGGATCCAGAGGACTAGCATCCAATCAGATGTGCTTTGATGACAATCAACTGCATAAAAATGGCCTAACCAGAAACACCCTTGATGTCTACGTGACATGGACAGTTTGTCCTCTTACAGCTCATGAGAAATCGATACACTTCTAATGGGACTAGAAATGGAAAGGGTAGCGATTCAGCAGATAAACCGAGATAGGAAATAGCTGGTGTAAACTGTTGATCCCAGAGAGGATAATCCCCTGCCAATCAGGTTATGTGGGTTTGGCTCCTACTGGGAGGGAAGGCTTTCATTCCCTCATATGGATCGGCACACATATGTAAACAAACACTGCCACTGCAAGGGTGCTGCCTGAATCTGCAGGATTCCAAGTATGGCAAACAATCTCCTAATTACTTGCCACTGATGTTTATTTCCCACATTATATCTGTCTTCTAACTGAAGAAACTGTTCCTGAGTCATCTGATTCAAAAATTTATCAGAGAGGTGCACTAACAGCAAAATTTGGATTTAGAATTTGACTTTGGAATCACAGCCCTTTGGATTTGGAACTTGGAATTTGAAAAAGCCAGAATTTCCCAAACACAGACAGTTAAAACGTTTTAAAAAGGATTTGCCTGAGTCCTCCAACACTTTTCTAGTTAGTGTGCCAAACAAAAAGACGACACACCAACAACCAGTGTTGCCTAAGTACTGGGAAATGACTGTAATGGGCATACTGGTTGACCTCTGAACAGTGGGAATGCCAACAGGAAATGCCAGCAGCCTTGGAGAAACATGTATCAGACATTGAGGAGCACACCCCCAACCAAACAGAGACATGTCCATTTCAAAGAAAGGCCAAATGGGTAGAGGTGTGTGCATGCATGGCGTGGGCCTCTTTGTGTCAAGAATTGCGGTGTGATATCCAATCCACAGCTGCCTCAGCTGTAACTTTAAAGCAACAGCCTTAGGTCTAAGAAAGATGTGTCTGACAACATTCATCTTACAAAGAACTTTTGGAGTTTACATCGGAAAGATGTGTCTGACAACATTCATCTTACTAAGAACTTTTGGAGCTTATATCTAAGAGTAACTTTTCTGGCAAAATCCATTTTGCCCGGAACCTGGTACATGCTCGACAAAGTGGATGGTCCTGATCCATGAAAGCTTGCAGGTTGTATGATAATTTTTTAAAGTGGTCTATAAAGGTATTGCCTACACTTCCAGTTGTATTTTGTACTGACCATATGGCTGCCTTTTATTTCAATAGGAGTAAACAGGATTCTGAATATTAGGAATTATTATTACAGATATTTGGATCTATCAAGTTCAGATTTGGACATATTCAGAATATATATATATATATAAATCAAAATAGACATTACACAGCCAAATTAATGTCAAGCATGTGGAACAGACCAGAGAGATTTGGACATATTCAGAATATATATATATATATAAATCAAAATAGACATTACACAGCCAAATTAATGTCAAGCATCAAAAAGATAATAAATATATTTTCAAGTTTTTCACTGGGACTGAAACAGACCAGAGATTCTACAAAATTATAGTACTGATTTGGATTTTTCTTCAAGGAACGCAGTACTTTTTCTATAACAAGGATGGGAATATTTAAGATGGGTTTTTTTTTTGCATAAATGGCCTGGGAATAAATTTCTATATGTTTTATACCTTTAATCATGTTGTATGCTTTCCTGGGTGTTCTTAGTCGGAAGAATGGCATACAAATGGAGACAAAGCAATAAATAAGGATTTACTCTCCTCCTCTAGAGCAAATCTTCCTCAGCCTTAAGCTAGTAAGAACCCCCATCCCACAAAAGGCAGGGTATCATCTCTGTTTCAAAATGCAGCACAAGCCCAGCATAATATTCCCTACGCCAAGCTTTAGGTTTGTCCCCGTGCCTAGAACTGGATGTGTGTTGTGTCTCTTTATTGTGACAGGTGGTGTGGGCATCTGTCAGGCACAGAGACACTATGCGAACTGCCATACACACATCCCCCCCCCATCAACTCTGGGTCCCAGCAAAAGTCAGAGGCTTTTTTTACAATTTTGTCCTTGTGTCTAGGATGCACACAGTCAAAACATAACCCAGATTTCCAGTACATCACTTCGGGGTGGGAAGGGGCAAGGGGCAAAGAGGGTCCTCTCCTATTTGGACCATAGGATAGAGCTCTCATCCCACCAGAATCTGGCTCTCCTCTTGATAAAGTGAGCAGGGGTGGCGGCAATAACCTTATGGGCCTCTGAGCTTCTCCTCAGTACATCAGCTCTTCCGCCGCTACTCACCACTTCTCCCTTGCTGTTCCAAATCTGAGATCCTCAGGCTTTGCTTCTCTTTATCTTCTCTGCAGATTCAGAAGTAAACAAAGGAAAGACATCAGTAGCAGAACTGTAGGACATGAGAGATTCTCTCCAGTTAAAAAGCTCACCAATACGCCAACACTACAACCTTTTTTCTTTGCTCCTGCTTAGTCGCTCCTACTTTTATTCTTGAGCCTGGCCTCTCTGCACAAATCCTGAAGCTCTGTCCTTTCTCAAGACATCCACATATAGCCTGTGTTGCTTCTTTAAAACTTACTTCTGCTTTTCCTTCATGCTTTCAGGAATGAGCTCTTCAGGCGTCCATGGTTCCTAAAGAAACAAATGTGCGTCCTTAGTTCCAGAAGAAGGCCCTTCCCAACCATGGCAGACTCAAGAACCTCATCAACCTTCAAGTGCCACATCATCTTTTCTTTGGGGGCTTGTGCTTCCTTCTTCACCAGACACTCTCCCAGCTTGCCCACAATATAGGGATCCCTGTGGAACCACCAGCAGACAGAGATTTACTAGCGGGCTTTCTGTAGGATGGGAGGATGCGGTCTCAAGGTACATAAGGAGCACATTCTTTCTTTTAGGTTATCTCCAAGCTAATGCCTTGGAGGATTTTACTAGGCAAGTAGCGGAAGCTTTCTGGTCAAGTCCTTACACGGGCATCTATAACTGGAGTCTTCTCAGTGGTGACCACTGTGGAGATTTCCTCTGAAGCCCCTATCCCCTGAGGCCTTCATAAGGTTCTCGCCCTTCTTCTTTCTTCGCTGCCACCAGGTATTGCTGCCTCAATACTATTCACTCAAGGGGACAATTGTACTTTTAAAACTTAACTCATTTATTAGATCAGGAAAGTTAATATATGATTAATATTCAATAGGTAAATCGCAGGTTGCTAATCACTTGTATTTGTATCAGTTTTACTTTAAATTTCTATTAACTCTGTGCCATTCAGTGTTCTTACAGATCTCTAAGTCTCTACCAGTTCACTTTTTAAGTTTCACACTGTCACTATCAGAATCTCCCTCTCAGACTCCATACACCAGCCTTTATATCCAACCCCCTCCCCCCTTGGCACCGCCTTCCGTCCACTCATTGGCTCCTTCTCCACTGCTCAGCTGTGATGGACAGGTGAGGGCGGGGCTGATCGCTACAACCACCAATCTTAATGTAAGCTGTAATCATGTTCACATCAGGTTGAGGGGGTGACCCAAATACTTCCTGTGCCTGAGGCAGCAAGATAAGTGTCACCTTATAGCATTGCTACTTTTCATGCTGCTGCCACCTTTGTCTCTTCTTTCTCCCCACCCGCCACAATTCTGCCACTTCTTCTCCGCCTCCCTTGGCACTTTTCCCTTTTTTTTGCGCCCTCCCCCTCCCAGCTATCTCCACATCTTCTTCCTCCCCATTCCAGTTCTTCCACTGCTGCTTCCCCCTTCCTCGGCACCTCTGCCTCGTCTTTCTCTCCCCCATCGCTACTCCCCTCCTTGGTTTCCTTTCCCCACCACTGCTGCTGTCTTCACTTTACCATTCATTTTACCAGAACATCTGTACAAAAAGCACTACAGCTTGGTTTTCCACCAAGCAGGCTATTTTCTAATTCCTTGGCTCTCAGGACCTGTTTAGAGCCAAGTGTCCTTCATGCACTGTTTCGAGAAATTGCCTGCACCGCGGGAAAGAAGACAACTTCTCCAGTAGCTTATGAAAAATGATTCACTCGGAGAGGCCTTCTGAGCCAGCCTATTAAAAAAACAGCTACCACCAGAGAGGAGCACCAGCTGTCTGGTTTTGGAATGTTGGAATGATGGGAAAAGGGGCTCCCTTAACAGGGTGCTGGGTGGGATTTGGTCTAATAGCAATACTAGCCCACTGGTGAGTTACAGTAAGTCTTTGAAAAGAACGAGCAGTTGCATGATCTGTATGTAAAATCAATGGCAGGGCCGGCCCTTGTTTGCTCTGCAGTTTTTCTGCCTCTGTTTTTTTTATGACTATAACATTTAATAGACCAAAATCCCATAGGCTGAAATCTTGTTGGCGCAACTATGCCTGTGGAAGAGTGATGACTTCACCAGCAGGAGAAGATTTTCAGTAATGAAAGACCTCCCCCTTTTCTTTCACAGCTTTTCTGACTTACAAATAATTTCTTTCATCGCGTGGGAGGCACTGACAGGAAGAGGAAGCCTTTCTTTGCCGAAAATTGCTGCCAAAGGTCCCATAGCCTCTACGTGATGAAACGGGTTATTTGCAAGAGAAGGGGGAAGCTCTTCCTTACTGAAAACCTCTCCCTGTTGGTGATGCCATCATCGCTCCCAAAGTGTAGATGCACCAAGAGGATTTCAGCCATGGTGCAGTTATTCCTGTAGAAGGTAAATAGTGAGTAGGTGAGTGGCAGAAAAATTCAAGGAGAAATTTATCAGTTAGAAATCAGAAGTTACTGTGAATTATTTCATTCTGCAAAAGTAACTAAAAACAGTAGTTTAACCATTGTTTTATTATGTTACCTTGAGGTATATCTTGGTTTTTATGCTTATTGCATACTCTATGCCCTTAGTGGGGTGGCGGCGGCTTATGACCTATAACAATAGTTTTAAAGTGCAACAAACAGACACATAAGCAAACTTAAGACATGAATCTCTCTTGCTTGTCACTTAGCCCAGTTAATGGGCCAAGAGGAAAAAAATTATATATAGTCAAGTTCAGTTTCATAGATGAATAAAAGTGATAAATCACTCTGATGCAATGAAATTATGAAGAATTTATATCCAGAAAAGATTATGGCCACTTACAGGGTCATGAAAAGTTTCCCCAAGATGTTCTACTGCATAGTAAATGAGTTTCTTCTCCATCAGAGACCTCTGCACATAAAGGTGGATGATCTGTGGGTGAAGGGAAGCTATTAAAATAACACACTAAGTCATTTTACAAAACTGTTTAAGCATTGCTTGGTTAACAAAACAGACTCCGCCAATAAATATTCATAACCATTCATAATTCATTCCTTTCTTCAGGGCATAAATATTTAAAATAAACAAACCATTCCAAAAATGATCAACCGAGGCTCCTTTAAGGGGAATGTTACTGCAACATTATTATTGTTAGTTCTACTCTACCTTTCTTCCAGAACTACGCCTCAGGGCTGCTAACAGGAATCAAGGCCATGTCATATTAAACATATGGTTTGCACTTCCTCTGCAGGGGGAGAGGACATGAGTGAGGTTTCGAAACTCCCTTCTCCCCATGATGTAGCCCTGATGCAAAAGTGCTTCCCCAAATCAGGAGAAAAACTGCTACCCAGTAACAACTTGAGAAATCAGTACAGAGGAAGGATATCCCTCCCCCACCACTATCCCATTGAAGGAGGGATCATTTTCACTGGGACAGCACTGAGAGAAGGGAATTCCCCCCCCCCAAATGATCCTGAGTCAGACTGTAACCACTGGTGCATTTAGTTCGTCTCTTGATTGTGTTCTCTCCATCTTTCACAATAAATGTCAAGAACTCTTTTTTTTTATCAGCAATTTTTGGAATTTTAGATGTGGAGACAGAAATCCTGGAATATACTGACATTTATTGGAGCATCTGAAGACCAACCGGACTGCCTTAGTGCACAGCATGGTGCCCACGGCCACTGGGGCCAAGCCTGGCACAGGCGGCGGCTGCTGTTGTCTCACGTCACTCTTCCTATTCGCTGCAACAGTTCACAAGGCAGCATCACTTTTGAACTTTTTTTTGCTACTGCTCTAGTCTACCATCTGTGGGTCAAATGCCTCTCTCCTCACAATTTGTGTTGCACAAAATTACTATGGCATTCAGGAGGCAGCAGCAGAAAGCAGGTTCTTTGTCAGAGGGATTCTGTCTGCTACAGATGATCCGGGCTGGGTGGGGGAGAGGGGATGTGAAGATTCTCAGTCATTCAGGTGAGGTTATCTGGGTGGATGTTGAGTCATGGCAACTGGACTTCTTTCTGCTTAGACTGAAACATTACTCATCCAAGTAGTTTCTTCAGTCTGAGGAGAGTTGGTAGGAGATCCCTGATATATCCTCCATGTTGGTTTCACTTCCCCCTCGTCTGAATAGGCTCATTAGAAGGACAAAGGACTGGGGGTGAGGGATAATCCCACTTCTGCAGTCCTTCTCCACCCCTTGTCATGGGTCTGTCAAGGGTTGTTAACAGTTGGTCTTTCTGGTGTGTGTGGTCCTGATCTTTCTGGGGTCCAGTAAAAGGGCAGCATGATAAATGGGAGACAGATTGTACCTAAAGCCTCCACCCCTGTTGAGTGAGGGATTTTCTATATGTACAAATATGGCCTCCCTGGCCCCTCTCTCAAACTACGTACCTATCTTCTCAATCTAAAATGACTACATCTTGGTCATCAAATGAGTGTCCTTTGTCCTTCAAATGAAGGGACACTGCTGATTGTGGTCCTGAGCCATTGCCCCTCCTGTGCTGGGCCATTCTCCTGTTTCATGGCTGTTTGGTTTCTCCAATGTAGAGCTCTGAACACTCCTCTTGGCATTGGACCACCACATGTACTATACCTAAAATGACTACATCTTGGTCATCAAATGAGTGTCCTTTGTCCTTCAAATGAAGGGACACTGCTGATTGTGGTCCTGAGCCATTGTCCCTCCTGTGCTGGGCCATTCTCCTGTTTAGTGGCTGTTTGGTTTCTCCAGTGTGGAGCTCCCAACACTCCTCTTTACATTGGACCACTGCATATACTATATTGCTCCTGTTGTATTTTGGTGTCCAGTCTTTTAGGTGGATGAGCCTCGGCCTTAGTGTGTTTGAAGTGCACGGGTATGTGGTGCTTGCCAAAAATCCCTCTGAGCTTTTCAGACACACCCATCAGGGAAGGAATGACCAGGTTCTTCCGTCAGCTCTGGGTCTTGGACTGTTCCATTGTCCTAGCTGGGTTGGGACACTGCCTTATTAAAGGCACATTTTGGAGATCCACAGGCCTTTAGGTCTCTCCTGAGATATCCATTTCCCTTCTTCTTGGTTCTTGTGGAAGTGGGGATGTTTCTTACTCTGGTTTACTGTCCTGATGACCCCTAGTTTGTGTTGCAACGGGTGATAAAAGTCAAATCGCATGTATGTGTATGTAGGTTTTCTGTAGATTTCTATTCCTAAACTGCCATTGGATCCTATGATGACTGCACAGCCCAGGAAAGGCAGCCGGTTGTCTTTGGTGTCTTCCCTGATGAACTTGATGTTTGGATGCACTACATTTATGTGGTCTGTGAAAGCCTGTAATTTCTGAATCTTGATTTTCCACCAGGTGTCATCCACATACTTGAACCAATAGGTTGGAGCAAGCCTGTAATTTCTGAATCTTGATTTTCAACCAGGTGTCACCCACATACTTGAAGCAATGGGTTGGAATAGTCCTCTGGAAGCTGTTTAGTGCCTTCTTTTCCATTCTTCCATGTAATAAGTTGGCAACAATGGGCAACACCAGGGAACCCATGGCACAGTCACGTTTCTCTCTGTAAAAGTCACCTCTGTAGGTGAAGTAAGTGGTGCTCAGACACAGGTCCAGGATGGGGGGGGATTTGATTTCTGAGCCCTCCCCATTTTGGCTATCTCCATTTTTTTTCATCAGAAGCTTTCTTCGATTTATTATGATTTCATTTTCTCTTTCCTCCTTTTGCCTTTAATCTCACACATCCCTAGTTTTCCTGTCTTTCTCTCCCTCTCAGCTGTTTCCAATGGAGGCACACCCTAATTCTTTCTGAATTAAAACAAAAGCCAAAAGGCATTAATTTGTATACAGCAACTGTTGCCAAATTCATGTCCCTTAGATATTCCAATTCTAGAAGCCCCAGCTAACATGGCTTGTAGTAATGAGTTATGGGACCTATTGGTAGGGAGTAGAGATGGGCATGAACACTGACCCACTCAGAGGTGGAGGCGGGGCAGGGATTCCTGAGATGCTGCCTTTGAGTGAGCAGCTGCTGGAGGAGGCGGAGAAGGGAAGTCCATGCTCCTGCCGGAACTGACAATTGCACAAAGAGCAGGAGAAAAGCTGTGTGCACAGGATAGTGAGTGGGGGAGCTGGCCAGGATGGGTGGGGGAAGGGAATGCACGGCATCTGCGGTGCTGCACCAACAAACCGGCAGAAACCTCCGAAATGAGGTTCATGCCCATCTCTAAGAGAGAGAGCTGAGAAAGGTTCTGGGGGGGAGAGAATGTTAACTGGTACCTCTCTGGGTGCAACCGGGATGTCTTCTCCTATCTCTGCTCGGTACTGGTTCAGCTTCTCCTGCATTGCCTCATCTTTGGGATAGAAGAGCAAGTAGGTGGCTGCACATTCAGCCGCCGCCACCTGATCCCCAACTGAAAGACAGAAGGTTGACTGGGTCAGCCTGCTAGCTCTGCCTGCCATTCCAGCAATGTCCCACTTCCATCAGTATTGCAGCAAAGCAGAGGCAGGGATCTTACTGCTTCCTCCCAGCAGGGCTTTCCTCACTTACTTCCGTCATAGGCAAACTGCAGCAAATCAAAATGAGATGGGATAAAATCTTCTGTGGAAGAGACCCTCCCTGGCTTGGTGGCAAGGTCGAAGATGCACTGCTGCCTGCACTTCAACACCTGGATGTAGTAAGCTAGAATACAGAGAAGACAAGGAGTGAGAGAGAACGCGTAGGCTGGCCCTCCAGTAGTCCGAGTCATACTGTCTCCTTCTACAAAGTGGGAGGCAGAAGATACTTCTCCAAGCGCTGTCCAAGGTCCCTGCTCCAAATAATTTTTTTCCTCTTGGCTGCAAAAAGGAGACAAGAATCAAAACAAATACCACCAATATTCAGATTTCCAACATTCCTGATTTCCCCATTCAGATCTTGACCATAAAGTATCTATTCCTGGGAATACAATGAATGGTGGCAGTGTAGGTATGTACAGCATGCTGAGGTTGTATTTAGGGCTTGCATTATGTGCACCCTAAATGGAGGTGTGTAGGGATGTGCATGCATGCGTATGTGTGTGCGCACACATGCACAAAAGGTAAAGAACGAAGAAGAAGCTGGATATCGGAGAAGAACACCATGAAAACATCTGGTGAACCACACAACATGGGCATTTGATATCAATTCTGTGGAACTGGCTGCATTCTGAGTTTTATCTGACATGGAAACATCCATGCATCCCTGGTCAAAGCACACAGTCTGTTTGGTGAGACAAAGGCATATTGTTCTTTCACTTTGGGAGAGATTCTGAATTGCATTTTTGGTATCACTTAAAGTAGGACCTTAGCTTTAAATAATAACATACCAATATATTTCACATTTGTCCACATTTTTAATAAACATATTTTTTAATTAATGGGAAAATATACCTAATGTGCCTACAGAGTTTAGATGTATCCATTACCCAATATGAACTTGAAACTGCTCAGTACTTTCTTACTGTAATCCGTCTAAGTTTCTTTACACTGAAAAGTGAAAACTCTTTATTGATTTACAGTGTGAATAAACATCCAAAGAGGACCAAAGAATTCATAAATTCACTCTGACCTTATTGCCAAAATATCACCCCCAACAATATAGTTTTAGAAGAGGTAGCTGTGTTAGTGCTAGCATGTCAAGAAAAAATAATAAAAAGATAAAAACTTTGTAGCACCTTTATATCTGTATTTACATAATTGACAGAAGAGATAAAACAATGACAGACCATTCAAAGAGCAATCCCATCATGAAGAACCTGCACTTCTAGAAAGTGAAGTGAAAGCTGCTCTGAAATAACTAGGAAGAAATAAATCACCAGGGGCAGATGAAATACCGATAGAACTATTTTAAGTGACAGAGAATGAATCTGACAAAATCCAAATAAGAATATGCCAATAAATATAGAAAACAAAACAAAGGCCCACAGGCTGGAAACGTTCAATATAGACTGTGTAAATCATGAGAAACTATGAGCTATTCTGAAAGAAATGGGTCTGCCTCAGCACTTGATTGCCCTGAAGTATAAACTGTATTGTGGACAAGAAGCTACCATTAGGACAGAATATGGAGAGACGGAATGGTTTCCTATAGACAAAGGTGTCAGACAAGGGTGCATTTTACTCATTATCTCCTCCATCTATATGCAGAACATGTCATATGAAAAATCAGACTAGATTCAGATGAAGGAGAAGTGAAAATTATTGGAAGAAACATCAATAATCTAACATATGCAGACGACACCATCTTACTGGCAAAAAGCAGCCGTGAAATGACTGTTAATGAAAGTGAAGAAAGTGTCAAACATGACTGCAGCTGAATATTAAAAAGACCAAAATCGTGACTAAAAAAGAACTACACAACTTTAACACTGACAATGAAGAGATTAAAACAGTTAGGGATTTTGTATACCTTGGTTCAATTATCAATCCAAATAGAGACTGCAGGAAAGAAAGCAGAAAAAGACTGGGATTAGGAAGGGCAGCAATGAAGAAAATGGAAAAAATAATCAAGTGTGGGCTTGATTAATAAAGCTGACAGGAAAAAAACTGAGTCCTTTGAAATGTAGTGCCAGGGAAGAGCTTTGCGGATACCCTGGACTGCCAAAAAAATATAAAGAAATAGGTCCTAGATCCAATCAAGCCTGAACTATCTCTGGAGGAAAACAAGTTGAAACTGAGGCTGTCATACTCTGGGTACATCATGAAAACAAAGAATTCTCTGGGAAAGACAATAATACTGGGAAAGGTTGAAGGCAGCAGGAAAAGAATAAGCCACAATAAGAGATGGAGTGACTCCCTAAAAGAAACTACAGGCTTGAGTTTGCAAAAGCTAAGCAGGACTGTTGAGGACAGGACATTTTAGTGATCACTCATAGTGTTGTCATAAATCAGAGGTGTCTTGATGGCACATAACAAGACAACAGAATCTCTAAGAATATACAATGGTGCCTCGCATTATGATTGCCCCACATTACGACTGCCCCGCATTACGACGTTTTTGTGATCGCTTTGTGATGATCGGTTCCTTGCTTCGGTAACCAATTCTTCGCAAAACGACAATTTTTCTACAGCTGATCAGCAGTTTCAAAATGGCTGCCGGGTAAATAAAATGGCTCCCCACTGTTTTCTGGGACGGATTCCTCACAAGACAGCCACCGAAAAGAGTCGCCCTATGGAGGATCTTCGCTGGATGGTGAGTTTCCAGCCCATTGGAACGCATTGAAGGGGTTTCAGTGAGTTTCAATGGGCTTTTTATTTTCACATTACGATGTTTTCGTTCTACAGTGATTTCGCTGGAACGAATTAACATGCAATGTGAGGCACCACTGTATTCCTCACATCTGAATGAGGACACAGGGCATGAACTCATGAAGCTCGTGCCACAATACATTTGATAGTCTTAAATGTGCCACTTGCCTCTGAGTTGTTTTGCACATTATGATAGGAATCTTATCTAATTACACTCATATGTTTGGGGGTGGGGAGGCAACAGAAGGTATCCTTGATCTCCCATGCCATATCTAGCCAGAGCCTCACATCTCAATTTTTGTGTTGCCATTCAAACATTTGATCAAGATACAGAGAACATGCAACGCTGCAGTACATAGAGTAGCTGGCTGTTCATTTTTTAAGAAGCACACATTTTCTTCAGATGCCCTACTAATTTAGGACCTATTGAGCTTCACAAGACACAAATTCACCTCCTATCGTCACTGCGTCCACAACACGTAACGCTCCTTCACGGATTGCTGGTGCTACCTGCAATAGCTTCATAGAGCCCAAGCTGCATGTTGTCTTCTCCGTCCTCCGCTTCTTGGGGCCCTTCGCAAAGTGCTCGGCAGTCCTCCAGGGCTACCAGCCCCTCTTTCAGTGACTCCTCCAGCTTTGTCAATGCCTGTTGGTAGTCATCCACACTGTAATGTCGCAGTCCCGCTTCGTATGCCTCCTGTAAGACCACAAAGATCCGTTAACATTTGAGGAGAGCCCTGAGACCATGACGTTTTCAGAGGTCATGCTACCCAAAGCTCAGATCTTGGGGCCAAACCTCAGCTGGCAGAGGAGACCAATGGATAGATGTTTCAGGCCTCTTTAAAAGTCACAGGGTGGAGGAGAGAACCAGTTCAGCCGTTAAATGTGGCTACAGATGTGTGTGTACACATATTCTAAAAATGGACAGAGGAGCAAAAGGTACAAATATCCCCACGGCCACAGCCTAGCTACCTTAAAACTTTTTGCAAATGCATCAAGAGTTTTGATTTCAGATTTTTCCACACCTGAAGTGTGCAAACGGTTTTTGAGTCTGGATTTTATCACTTCAGGCTGCACGTGTGGAGGGAATGGACTTATGTGACACAATGTCTGTTTAAAGGAATAAATGCTCCCAGACAGAAACCCACAGTGCCAAGGAGAGGAACAAGTTAAAATGTACCTTTCAGACACAATGGTATTCTATAGAGAGGCTTGTTGTCGTTTTGGTATAGGAGCACATTCAGTCTGGCGATAGAGGCACTCTGAATTCTGCACCCAGTTACAGGTGTTGAGTACCAGCTAGATCTGACAGTCATCCAAACCTTTAGGAAATGGACTGTACTCCACAAAACCTCAAAACGGAATAAATGTGCTCATCTCTAAAGAAGGCACAATATTTTCTTTGGTGTTTGCTTTTGGGATAAACTCCCAAGTCAGGCAAATTAACATACCATTAAAAAAAAATCAAAGTCTGCCCAAAGTACAACCATTTCATCCCAAGGTATGTCTTGCTAAATCTTCTGCCTTGCCTCCTTCAATTTATCCTCCATTTCAAATAGGAATAACTCAGATGCATCCGGAATGACTGACTGCTGGATTCACTCATTGGATCAATCATGATGCGGAACTATTTAGCTTCCCGGAGAAGCATGCCTAAGTATCCATGCCGAGAATGAACAAATTAAAACATCAGCCAGATCCCTGCTGCTGATTTATGCTTGCATTATGCAAGTATAAATCAGGAATAGAGTTTGACCATGAATTTAATAAAAAATAGGTGAGGCTAAATTTGAGACTGACATCAGTGTGGTGTAATGGATAGAGTGAAGATAGACCAGGACTCAGGAGGCCTGGGTTTGAATCCCTGCTCAGCCAAGGAAGCACACACATTACCAATTCCACTCCTTAAATATCTCACTTATCTTGAAAACCCAATTATGGGGTCACTATAAGTCAATTTGGACTTGACAGCATGCAACAACCACATAAATATTTGCTGGAAATGTGTGCTAAAGCACCGGTCCCACTGTCCTACTCCCGTTTTCTACATGTTACTGGATTCCCAAAAGCACCATCCAGCATACGTTCTGAACATTATAGTCCAGCCACATCTTGCACTCAAGGTGCACCATGTTATTGTTGTTTAGTCGTTTAGTCGTGTCCGACTCTTCATGAGCCCATGGACCAGAGCACGCCAGGCCCTCCTGTCTTCCACTGCCTCCCAGAGTTGGGTCAAATTCATATGGGTAGCTTCGGTGACACCATCAAAGCTACGAAAAAGGTGCACCATAATACCTCTTAAAAACAACAGTACAGCCTGGAAAGAAAATGTTAACATTCTATGCTTTCCAAAAAGGGGTGCTTTTTTTGGTGTTCTAAGAAAAAAAAAACAGAATAAGAAAGAGGAAACAGATAACATTATGTCACAATGTCACAAAGATGCTTGGTAAGAGAAGTGGAAAAGCACAGCTACCTCACTGTTTGGAAACAGGCCTCTGTGGCTTGGTTCTTTTTACCACAGTGTGCCACAGGCCCCCAACAGAGTTGCATTTTCTGTTCTCTGAGAGAATCCTTCTCACCCAGTGTGGCATGGCCTCAAGGTCGCGAAAGCTTTCTGATTTGACTCCCGCCATGCGCTGGTACTTCTCTATATCCTCACGCATCTGTAAGTGCTGTGGATTGGCTACGAAGAATGTGTGAGCTGAAGAGACCGCCTCGTCTAGTTTCTTTAGCTGTTGAAATAGAAGAGGTACCTTTAGAGATAAATTCAGGGCAGAGGGAGAAAAGTAAGACCTAATAAGCACTTGTTACAGGAATTCAGATACTTCATGCTCCTGGCATAGGTCAGATTACCCTTTTAAAACAAATGAGATTTGTGCCTTTAGTCTTATTCACTATGTAGAGTATGGAAATATACATAGTCTTGAGCATCACTGACCTAAGATATTTTGCTACATAAAGAAAAGCAATAAAGGTCCACACTTCCATTAGCTCCTTTCAGTACTCAAAGATGATTACCGGTAAATGATTTTGGCTTTTGAGATTTAACTTTCAAGAGGTGCTCTCCTTCAATCTGCTAATACAAACACAATGATAGTAAGGTAAGTAAGTGTGTGATCAGACAGCAGGAAAGGTGTGTGTCTGATCACACTGCTTTACAGGAGCAATCTCCTTTACAGTGATACTTCTATTTTCCGAGAAATCGCTCCAGCCCAGCCTGCAAAAGTAGTACCTCTAGAGTTGGACCAAAAAGGTCCAGTTTGGGCACGGATCAGGCCTGGGTTTGAACGCATTTCCCCATATATTGTGTGATCTCTGGGAAACAGATTGCACGAGTGGTCCAAATTGCTATATATTCCCCTGTGTAATCACATGTCAAGTAACAATTTGCTTTCTTTTCAGAAATTCAAAATGTGCTCTGCAAAGTGGTGTCAAATGAAGCTTTTACCTTTGCTGTGTCTTATTCACAGAATTGCTATGGTATGGTAAGCTGCACAGGAGACAACTAGGTTTAATAGGGTTCATGAATATAATTGCCATTTTCTGTATCCCATCTCATTATGACCCCCTTCTGATAACCATAACCAGTGCTCCTAAAATTTGGAACTTCAATTGTGGCGCTTGATGAGGCATTCCAAGGAGCGGGCTACCTATAGGACAGCCGGTGCCAAATAAAACTCATTTGTCTTAAAAAGTACCACAAGACTCCGGGCAGCTTTTGTTGCAGCAGATGAACCAGACTACAGTACCTCCTGGGAATCCTTAGCCCAAAGACCTGCTTCAGATTAAAAATCACTGGCGTCTGTGAGGGCAAAATGCAAGCGTGACCCGAGCAAGCGTTGGCCTTTAAAGGTGGGGGGTTGCAAAGCTAATTTTGTGCTCATGAGGCGGTTTTGGAAGGTTTTCTGTCAGCCTCCCTGCTCGGGTCAGGCATGGAAGGGGAGGCCCAGAGTGGCAGCCACATCATCATCAGCGGCGGCGGCGGCGGCAGGCCCCCACCCCGTGCGGGCTGCCACTCACCTTGAAGAAAGCCACTTGTAAATAATTGTAGGGCTCCCTCTCTTCAAACTCCTGCTCGACGGCTCGGCTGACCCGGTGGCGGGTCGGCTGCCCCCCGAGCCTGCGCCCCAGGCACTCCTCCAGGCACTCGGCCCGCTGCAAAACCCGCTCAAAGAAGCCCGCCTCCCAAGGCGGCGAAGCGGCCGGCCGAACCTCCGCGAAGCCGGCTTCCCCTTGGCAGCTCCGCTGGCACCCGCGGCGCACGTCCTGCAAGCGGGAGTAGCTGTGCAAGGAGCGCTGCAGGAGCTCCGCTACGCCCGCACCCCGTCGGCGTAGAGGGAGTCGTAAGGGGTCAGCCGGCTTGAACCCGCCGAGAGCTGGGCCCGGCTGGCAGGCAGCGAGCGCAAGAGGAGGAAGAGGAGGGGAAGAAAAGAAGAAGGCATGACTACTGGAGCGAAAGGGAGAGGGAAAAGGGGGCGCCGAGAACTGAAGTTGGGAGGGAAGCAGAACCGAAGGCAGAAAGCGCGGGGCGAAGAAGGGAAAGCAAGGCAACGTCGGCTGGCGAGGGGAGGGAGGGAGGCAGATGCCTCGGCGGGTTTCCTGGCTTGCGTTTTCCTGGAGCAGGGAAGGGGCCCTGCGCGGCTGGAGGAGCGAGGGAGGGAGGAAGGAAGGCGGAGTCACTCCAGAGTCGACTCCGGGGCTGCCGGGGCGAGACATTCCTTCGGGAAGCCGGGCAGCCCGGATGATGTTGAGGCGCGGGAAGAAGGCGCCTCTGGCAAAGCGGAGCGCGCGGTTGCAGCACGCTTCTCGCTTCCCCCCTGTCTGGGGCTTGCTTTTCAGGGCAGCCCGAGGAGCTTCGCCTGAGACCGGCCTTCGGGGCCAGTTTCCAACGAAGTGGCCGGGGTGCCCCGTGTTTTTTTTTCTTTCGCCACGGGTGACAAGAAAAGCAGGACACGCACAGCTCCCTCCCCAAACTCTCCTGGCGCCTTGAAGGCTAAACCATTTCTTGGCGAGCTTTTGGTGAAGGGTAGCCGGCCTCTTGGAAGCCTGGCCTTCAGGCTACAGCCGGGGGAAGAGACGGGCATTCCCCAAAAACCGCACGCGCGCCCATAAATCCCGTTAGCTTTCCAAATGGCACAGGAGAAAAATGGTTTGGGTCATCAGACACTGCTTGAAGAACATGTATTAAAATGAGAACTTAAATCTGGAAGGCAGAAAATAGTAAAAAGAGCAATTTGGAATTTTGATATGGCAATATGTATAGAATGGATATTAGTATGTTATTGTTTCTCCTCTTCCCTTTGACCTCAATCCCTTTTTCCTTCCTGTTCGTTTGTTTAGTGGTTTAGTCGTATCCGACTCTTCGTGACCCCATGGACCAGAGCACGCCAGGCCCTCCTGTCTTCCACTGCCTCCCGGAGTTTGGTCAAATTCATGCTGGTAGCTTTGATGACACTGTTCCAACCATCTCATCCTCTGTCATCCCCTTCTCCTCTCGCCTTCACACTTTCCCAACATCAGGGTCTTTTGCAGGGAGTCTTTTCTTCTCATGAAATGGCCAAAGTATTGGAGCCTCAGCTTCAGGATCTGTCCTTCCAGTGAGCACTCAGGGTTGATTTCCTTTAGAATTGTTCTCCTGTTACTCTTTGTTAAAAAATAAAATATTTTTTAAAAGTCACATGACTTTTTTTAAAAAATTTTTTGCTAAGGATGTGTAATGAGAGGAAGCGCCTGTGGCTTTACGTCGACCTTAGAGCACGTTCAGACGGTTTTACGTTGGAAATGCAGAGCAGGGATGCAAACACAGACCTTTAGAGGGCACAGTGTTCTTGCAAAGATAAGTTTTCTTCTGAGTATGTTGGGATTGGCTGCACGTCTCTCCAGGGACAATTTGTATGCCATGTTGCTGAGGTCTGCCAGGGTCTCAGGGTGCGGGGCTGAACTCTCAGGAAAAGGGCTGGTGCTTTAGGGCCTGACCTGGTGAGATCACAAGATCTCATGGGGAGCAGCGCTGAAGGAAGAGAAAGTTTTGATTTCATGGTGTCTGGTAGGTAGGGGGGAACCTCTGTTGGCTTTTGTAGAGCATGATGAGAGAAAGTGGGTGGGGATATGCAAAGTTATGTCCAATGCCTGCCTGGAGGATCCGACTCGCCCTCGAGAAAAGGGCCAGATCTGGAGAATCCACAGAGAATCTCTGGCCCGTTTTCCTCTCGGGCCTTTGCTTTCCCTCCAGACTGAAAGGATGTCCTTTTCGGAGCAGGCAGCGTGGGATCCGAGAGAGGGTGGTGGGCAAGGGGCCGCTTTTTGGGACCACAGATATTGTTACTTGGTCTTTTGGCTAAGATTTAATGTTGCATTTGCTGTATTTGCGAAGGCTGTGTCCGTGGAATTGCATTTGCTTTTGTCATCTTATATGATTCCTTGTGCTCTGTCTAGCTTTGTGGGATTTGTTGGAGATACAGCTCCTCCTTCCCCCAAAGCAAATGAGGAGACAGGCCTGTGGAAGCGCTCTCAACTTCAGAGGAAGCTGAGCATCTGAGGGGGACTCTCTGGAGGACCTAATCAATAGTTTGGAAAGACAGACAATGATTTCAAGCCCCCACTGAGGCTGTGAGGGAACAGAAGCTTCCAGTGACGTCACTAGGGGGGATTTGCTGCTTGGGTAACAGCCTATCCTCCATATTATTTTACCCAGGCTTCGTGCCTCTGCTTCGCTTAAGGGGTCAAAGCACTAGATACTGTACTGTTCCAAGTCCTCCATACAGAGCACGATACCATAATCCCTGGAGAATCAAGGATGCCTGTGAATGAATGGTAGCTTTGATGCCCGCTGCCTACTGCATCACAGTTCCCTGGCTGAACATGAAGGGGTTTGTAAGTGTGTAAGGAAAGTGTGAAGGCAAGAGGAGAAGGGGACGACAGAGGATGAGATGGTTGGACAGTGTCACCGAAGCAACCAACATGAATCTGACCCAACTCCGGGAGGCAGTGGAAGACAGGAGGGCCTGGTGTGCTCTGGTCGATGGGGTCACGAAGAGTCGGACACGACTAAATGACTAAACGAAACGAAGTCATAATACAGGAAATCCACTCTTTCATGTGGAAGGGCCTTCATTCTGCAGTTGTTATACAAGAATCCTCACCCTGTTTTATATCACAGGAGCCTGGCTCCTGGTCTCATCACAGGAGCCTGGCTCCTGGTCTCACGAGTTTCGCATCAAACTCTCAGGTAAATGGGTGCTTTGGCAGTCAGTCTGGTTGTCACCTACTTTGTGAAATGGTCCCTTGACTGCTCTGGAATGTGCAGTATAGGAGAGTTGAGTAAAGAAGATGTAGCTCCTGTGGTGTTGAGAAAGATGGCACTAGACATGCTGTGCCAGGGGTGCTATTTCTGAACAATTTTTTCCTTACCCAATTACTCCTGCATGTCACTGCCTTGGTCACTGGGCTGAGACTGGCAAGATCCAGATTCAAATCACATTTTAGTAGTACTGGCCTTAGGCCAGTCACTTTTTCTCCACATCCAAGGGGTTTTCATGGGGCTAAAGGGAGGGGAAGGATCATGATAGACTGCTTTGAACTTCTTTGAAGAAAGATGGTGTCTCTGTGGAATACGATGCCATGCAGACATTTATGGTTTTACTTACTTTTAACTTCACACCAGGATTGTAATCATGTTTCACATTGCCCAAAATGAGATACCTGAGGCGGCCACCTCACTTTGTCCAACGGTATAGACAGGCAAGAAAAAACTTGTCTGCTGGTGATCACCCTACACAACACTGTACTGCAGGTCTTGCTTGTTATGACATGTTGCTCAACCCAAACTCTTCAGAAGTAAGTACAACAAAATACAGTGGTGCCTTGCTTAATGATTACCTTGTTAAAACGACAAAACCGCTTTACGATGAAGTTTTTGTGATTGCTATTGTGATCACAAAACAATGTTCCCATGGGGAAAATTGCTTAATGATGATTGGTTCCCTGCTTCGGGAACTGATTTTTCGCTAGATGATGATTTTAAAACAGCTGATCAGCGGCTCTAAAATGGCCACCCGCTGTGCAAAATGGCCCCCGCTGTGCTTTAGGACGGATTCCTCGCTTTACAGGCACTGGAAAATGGCAGCTCTATGGAGGATCTTCGCAAAACGAGCAGGTATTTCACCCATTGGAACACATTGAACCGTTTTTCAATGCATTTCAATGGGTTTTTAAATTTCGTTTGACGATGATTCCGCTTAACAGCGATTTGAAGAGAACGAATTATCCTCGTCAAGTGAGGCACCACTGTGATTGCATAGTATAACATGGTCATAATAATAATTGCATGTTGTCAAGTCAATTCTGATTTATGGTGATCCTTTTCAAGATTTTTCCAGGAAGAGAATACTCAGAAGTGGTTTACCATTCCCTTCTTCTGGGGTCATTTTGGGACTGTGCAACTTGCCTAAAGCTACACAGGCTAGTTGTCCCCCTAGGAGGCAGAGGTATAGGTGAATGAATACCTGGTTTGTGTGTGCAAGAAAAATGCATGAGAGCTAACAAAAATTAAAAATACTGAGAACAGAAGGGAAGTTACCAGGTATAAATGGCCTAGAGTTCTTAACAGGTTCCTGTGAGCCACACCAACCCTTGCCGGATTTGGAGGTGCTCCTTCCATTCTTTGCTCCAATGAACAAAAATGCAAGTGTTTGCAAGAAAACGGGTTTTATTAAAAAAGGAATGGGTCAACAACTTTGATGGCATGAAACTCTCCCAAGCTAGTTTAAGGCACTGCACGGGAGTCCTCAGTCTTTTAGTCCAGAATCTGTAGCCCCCTTCAGATATTGCCACCGACAGGGATTTCTGTCCTGCCTATTTCAGAGGGGTTGCTCTTTCTGGACTGCAGAATGGGTAACGCCATATATCACATGTCATGGATGGTTTATACACTCACAGTGAGGACAAGACTGTGGGTCTCTGGCTTCCACTGTCCCTTGGGTTGTCCCTGGGGTTGAGCCTGGCAGGTCTTTCCCTCTGCCTAGTGCCTGGCTTGTGTTCCCATCGATTCCCTGGGTGCTTCCTCTTGGGCTTGGTGGCCTCTCTCCTTTCTTTTTCCCCCTCACCACAAAAAGAAGGTTGTGGTGGGGGTGGTGATAAACTGCCTTTCTGCTGCTTCTTTGAGCACCCAAAGCTGGACCAGCGCCCCCAGTCTATGGGTCTTTTTAATATATTTTCCCAGTCCCAATGTGGCGTGGGGTCCTCTGGGAGCTTGACATGCAAATGGTATGACTGTTCCTCAAGGCTTTCAACCTCTTCCTCTACCACCACATTGGGGAGCGTCACTAGTTTGCTCCAGACTGGTCCATCTTCCCCTTATCCTTAAGTTTCTCCCTCTTCCTCTGATACCTCTTTTAGAGCTCCCAGCAGCAGAATAATGGTTCCCTCTAGTTTTAAAATAAATGAGAATTGCACATCACTATCACATATAATCTGATAATGTTACATTAGGATTAAAAGAGGGCCTGAGCTCCTGTTTATTCTATGGTATTTAGAACAATGGGAAGCTTCTCTTAGTTCAATTGAGTTTGAGGTTACAACCATTTCGGGGCAAAAAGAGATGGGTTAGCTGTGGAAAACATGAATTTTTGAGGCAAAATGCCCAGCATTGAAATTATCTTGGCAGCTATTCATGCACCAGATAGTCTGTGGCAAACCATGGTCTCTTAATGTTAGCAGTTATTCCACAGTATTAAAAAGCAACAGTGCCCAGCTGTGTTCACCCCAATATTTTTAAATAATTCAAATCCCAAGCAATTAAGAAGAAGGATTTATCATCAGAATAACCTAGGAACATCTTAAGTAAGTGTGATATATGAAATTGATTGAATTCAGGATATTGGTAGTACTAAAATGGAACAAATTCAGAACATTTCCTCCCTTCAGGCTAGCAGAAGGGACTGATAAAACCAAGGCTGTGAACACTGTTTAAGTTTTAGTTGTCACTGAGGTGGCAATCCAGTGTCTGGATTGTACCACTCCTGACTGCTGAAAAGTCACATGACTGAATGTTTCATCACACAGGAACATAAAAAAAATCCCTATGGAATATTATCATGTCAAGGAGAAGTCTTACTAGAATTATCTAAAACATCTGGTTTGTTTCTCTTGCCCTACAGCTACCCCTGGTGAAATAGGTTTTGCAGGTTTATGAAATGCTACAAAAACAGGACCCGAAAGCAAAGGCAGTAAAAGGATGAGTGGGTGTCCCAAGTGCAATCCTGCTCTGTTGCACCAGTTCTCTCAAAAGGCAGAGATTTAACCCATGTGAAATAATCTGTCCCTCAAAATTTGTCAAATGGAAAGGTCTTTAACATCTTCTGTTTTTGCACATTGCCAAACAGATTGTGAAAAAATTTAAAATACTAGAAGTTATGTGAGAACAAGTTTTATGCCATTTTAAGTTGTAAGGCCCTCAGGAGCAGGGGCCTAGCTATATAAAAAAAACTCTCAAGCATCATGTACTTTGCTAAAGCCACTGTATGTATGAGTGCATACAGACAGACAAACACACACACACATACATGTACACGTGTGTTATATCTTGAGGGCATGCCAACTTGTGGCTCTGGGACACTGCTCTTTCCACAGTGGATAGAGTAAGTTCAGAAAAATAGGCAGCATCCATGTACCCTTGGTTTTCTGTCTAGTGCTCCATACAAAAGAAGTTAATGGATCAGCGCATTAACCACTGACTGCTGTCCTTACTGCACCTGCATTAAGCTGTTTCTCTTCTGTGTACTTTCCATCTCTCCCATATTTCCTGCTGTTGGGTTTTATTCAAAGCTTCTGCTACATTTTCATTTCCTAGACATGTTTCTTCGATTCTGAGTCCTATCCATGTTGTTTTCAATGTGTATCCAAATGTGTTGGCTACATAGGAAGAGGGTAGCTGCCAAACAGTACAAAATCCTGAGTTTATGGGCACAGAAGCTTTATGCAGGAAAGCCGGAAGATATAGCACAAGACCATCAAGAAGACCCGAAGGCAGCTTCACATCCAGCGGAGCCGACACCAAGGCAAAGATCTGGGGGAGCTGGAAGAGAAGATTACCTGCCCAATATCTCATTCTTTAGATCAGGAATGACTTTGTGGGAGCCATATCTAAACCATTTTCTGGACCAGTAGCAGATGTTTGCAGACAAATGTGCTTCAGAAATAGTCTGAGAGACAAATCTTGTTATTTTTAATTACTGTTAAACAATGATTATTATTTTAAGCTTATTTATCATGGGCTGTCAAGTAAATTCTTACTTACGGCAACCCTTTTCAGGGTTTTATAGATTGACAATACTCCAAGTGGCTTCATTATTCTCTTCTTCTAGGGGCACCCTGGAATTGTGTAGCTTGCTCAAGGCCACATAGGCTGAAGGCACCCCAGCCACTGGCTCCACAACCAGATAACATAACTCACAGAGCTATCCAGCCATCTTAAGCTTAAAGGTAAAGGTAAAGGTTCCCCTTGACACTTTTTTTGTCCAGTCATGCCCGACTCTAGGGGGCGGTGCTCATCCCATTTTTCAAGCGGTAGAGCCAGTGCTTGTCCGAAGACAGTTTCCGTTGCCACGTGGCCAGCGTGACTAGGGAACGCCGTTTTACCTTCCCACAGAGATGGTACCTATTTATTTACTTGTATTTACATGCTTTTGAACTGCTAGGTTGGCGAGGAGCTGGGACAAAGCGACGGGAGCTCACTCCGTCGCGTGGATGCGATCTTACGACTGCTGGTCTTCTGCCCCTGCAGCACCGCAGCTTCTGCGGTTTAGCCCGCAGCGCCACCACGTCCCTATATCTTAAGCTTAGGCACTTAAAAATAAGATACAGACATATAGGATGAACTTGTGCAGCCCAAAAGAAATAGGAGCTATAACATAGGAAATGAGAGGATTTTTATACAACTACCAACAACTTTTAGGCTTAATATGAGCCTTATTAAATCTGGGCTAATTTGTGGTAAGCAGCTTCTAGCACTGACAGATCAGTTGCCTACCATTGTAAGCTGCAAGATGAATTGCCTGTAACTTTCCACATTTCTTGCAATATTTCATTTTTTGCTACCACCGTCATGCTATGTTCTGTCCATACAAATAAATCAGGCGTAAGAAGGTAGTTTAAATCAATGTGCCTGCAGGAAAACAACTGGTAATGCTTTTCACTCTAACTTCTGACCTTGGCTAAGTTTATATCAATACACGATGGCCCTGTAACATGAATAATGGGAAAAATTTCCAAAGGACTTGCCAAAGAAATTTCTACTTTCTTTCCTTTCTTTCCTTTCCTTTCCTTTCCTTTCTTTCTCTTTCTTTCTTTCTTTCTTTCTCTCTCTCTCTCTCTCTTTCTTTCTTTCTTTCTTTCTTTCTTTCTTTCTTTCTTTCTTTCTTTCTTTCTTTTTCTTTCTTTCTTTCTTTCTTTCTTTCTTTCTCTCTTTACATATTTATGTATTTATTTCTTTATTTTGCACTAGTGGAGAGGACTTCTCACCTTGCCCCTTGGAAACTTGTCTTCCATACCTCCTGTTAGCCCTAGTCATCTGTATTACGAGGGTAATAATAATGGCCTATTTTAACAGGGGAGCTAGAAGGATTACTGAGGTAATGTATGGGAAACATGATGAAATATAGTCCATACTTGCTTAGTATCTTTCCTTGCTTAGCATTTCATGTGTTGGTAGCTAAGGCTGTGACTGCAGTGCAATTGGATTCTTAGCCTGTATTATGGCTGAATTTGCAGTCAATGATTACACAGAGGCTATGGATTGATTTTGGGAGTTCAGTGTTCACACAAGAGGCAATGCAATTTGCATTTCAGCCCACAATCCCCCCTTTTTCCTTCCTTCCTCTGATCCTTCCTCTGCTGATTCTCTGCTGACTCTACAGTTTTCTGTAAAGCCACTTGGTTTTGGAAGGGTTCTACAGTGTTCTGGAAAAGGTGGCTGTGTTCCAAAGTTCTTCATAATATGTACAGAAATACCACGCAGCACAGAAATGTCTTTTATTTCATCTGGGTTGTTTCTATTTTCTTTGTAATTAAAACATTTTTTTCATCTGAGGCTGATCTAGTGCTAAACTAGTTTATCAGTACTAGTGATAGGGTGATAAAGCAATCTAGCACTAACCTCATATATGTAAATTTTTTTTAAATTGGAGGACAGTTGGGAGGGAAGAATGCAAGAGTGGGTATTCCTGCAGTCCTGAACATCATACGCCAACTGCTTGTGTCACAGAAACGCCACCCATAGCCATGCCCCTTGTTTTTACAAGAATGGATCAACTGGTCACACAGAAAAATGTCCATTCAAATTGTTCTGGCTTGGAAAAAGTAGAAACCCAGAGTGGCAGAGAAAAAAACAAGTTGGGAGCAAAAAAAGGCTGGACTGATTTGAACTGGCCTTTGTGTCGTGTGATCAGACAAAATACTTTAGGTCAACTCATACTATAACTGCAGCAAATCCTGCGGTATTTTATTGTGTTGTCACAGCCTAAAAGACTAGATCTGCAGCAGACCCAAATGTTCTTTCTTTCTGATTGCTTGCGTTTCAGTCTCTTCTAGTACTTGCCGAGAGCATAATGCCAAGCATGTTAAGTATATTTGACAGTTTTTAGTGGGTCTTATTCCCAGCTAGTGTGTAGAGGATTACAGCTGAGATCAAATAACTGTTACAAAAACAAAACTCATAAACAAACAAAAAGCAAGACACATATGACACTCCAAATATAGATGTTTTTAATACCTTCCTGTCCCATAATTGGCAATCAATTAGTGTTTCTCATAATGGGTGGAGCTAAGAAAGGGATGGTTGGTACTAGTAATCCTACTCAACAGGGTGGAGCTGACAAAAAGTGCCCTCAATGAATTGCAGTGGTCTGCATGTCCATTTTTCATCTGAGAGCAAGGTGCTGTGGCTCCTTCCAAAAATAATGCAATTTCTTCTCCTGCCACATCTTTCCTCCCCACCACAGCAGGACAAACAGTGGGCACATTCCCTCCACTGCTATGGTGAGAAACAAGAGGACCTAAATTTCCCATTGGGCCCTGGAATTGGGCAGACTTGTTGAGTGTTACTTAAAAATCCAGAGCACAGCAAATGCTTTGGATGGCATTTCATAGATTGAGCTCCTAGAAGGTCTATGTCTCATAAGCTGTCATGGTCCATTTACTGTCCTCCTGCTGATCGCCACTGGAGAAGTAAAGATTTTCGCCACCAGTTAGTGAACACCGTCGATCCCTGTCAGCAACCCCTTCCTGCTCAGCACCATTGAGGGAATAGTGCCTTTCACGCTGCACTGAAAACGGGAGGCGTGAGTGGCGTGGACTGGTGAGTGGGGAGGGCACTGGTGTTTCATCAATGAAGGTGGTAATCTCATCACGGAAGAAACAAGTGGTAGAACCAGGGGCCCGGGAGGCCAGTCCAGCTTCCAAGAATTGTCGAAGTGTGGTGAACTCATCTTCAAGTGGCCGTCGACGGTGAGGATAGTTGCGGAGTTCTGGAGGCAAAAAGCCGGACGCTCCCCCAGGTTTGTGGGGTGCAACAACACGGATGTCATCAGATGAGGACCACTTGTGAAGGAAGGAAGGAGTGGATCGGTGGGAGGAGAAGATGTTAGTTTCATCGTGGGACATCCTCCGCGAGATAGGGACCTAACAGGAAAGATGTTAGTGATAGATGAGGCCTTATTAAAATACAGATTTTTGCTATTTGTGGGTAGGTCCAATGACAAAAGGCTTACTAGAATAAATCAAGGTGAGAAAATTGACAGATTCATGTTGAAGTCCTCCCCTATTTTTAGCCATTGATTACCAGCTGACACATAGTCAAGAGTTTTGTGGTGTTTTAGTGGTATATATTATAGAATGCTAAAAGTGATCAAATACTGAATAATTTTGATTAAATGTAAATGTTATCAAAATTAGAGGCAAATTCTTTGTCAATCATGCCACTGCTAAAAAAAATCTGCATTATTCTGGAAATACTTAACCTAACCATATGTTCTATGAAGGCCTCTCAATCATTCAGTTTTGCCAATAGATGTTTATGTTGCTTGGTGGTTTGGGGTCAGCTAGAACCCAATGCAGTGTGGCATTTGACGCTTTCTAACATTTGTATACTTACTGTTTTTAGCTTTAAATATTGTCTTTTAATGATGTAAGCTACATTGGAACCTTTTTAAGGAGAAGGGTGGAGTAGATATATTTTAAATAAATAGTAAATAAATGCTTTGAGTCTTGATGAAGACAGAAAGCCACTGGTGCCTTAGAAGACTTATTACTGTATATAGATGGTTGACATGGCTACAGCAAGCTACAATGCAGCCAAAGAAAACACACAAACATTCTTACATACTGGAGAGGCCTGAATCCAGCTCACCATGGTCTTCTCTCCCACAGCAGATGGGCTGCCGTGACCTGGGCAACTCAAGGGTTTTTTGTAGTCTAGGCTCCCTACATTATAGCTGGCTGAGGGGAAAGCAAGACACTTCCTCACTGCTTTGTACTGAGGAGCACAAACTCTTTTTCTGACTAGGTCACCATATTATCACTTGGTAAGATAAGCTATTCTTAGAAATTTTTTATTTATTTAATTTAAGAAACTTGCCAATCCAATACAATTTTTAAGCAGGGAAAGCTCTCTCCACTCATCCTAAGAAAATTATCTTTTGCAGATCCTTCCTAAATATGCACCAACACACAGAACTCCACATTGGTGGGTTTTAAAACTTCAAGTGTACTCCATTAATCCACAGCGTACACACACATGTCCCCTAAGTTTGGATTCACCTGTTTGCTAACACTTGTCAAGACAAAGCTACCATGGATTCCTCTGAGGGAAGTTGAGTGTGTGTGTGTGTGTAGGGGGTACGGGAAGTGTTAGGGATTTACAGCAGTTGTTTAGGTCTTCCCCTAGTCTGCAAGATAAAGCTGCTCTTGAGAAGGGAATCTGTTGGAAAAGAATCTTAGGACTCGTATGGAGGGAGCAACAAAGAGGCTCCATGACCTACATCTGTGCGAGGAAGACACATGTGCATATGTGTCAGCGGCCTGCAGCAATATTGTGCAGTATTCTATCAAGAGGTATGGAGGGACAATGGTGGAACTCTACTCTGAATTAAAAGCAGCTTACATTATTATTTCCTCACCACCACCACTACCCCAAAGGACAGGAAGGAAAAGCTTATAAGAATTGTGAATTAAATGATAATCTAATCAAGTATAGAATCCAGTATTGGGAGCCCATGCCATGCATGTGTTAGATATGGAATGAAAAGACTCAGGTACAGATCTTCAAGTTGTTTGGGCTAATTCAACCTAACTTACCTCCCCAGCGTGTTGTCCAGATCAAATAGCTTCATGTGTGGCACCAGATACAGATGGCTGATATCATGCTAGGTCTCAAAACCAGTGTAAAGTGTGCATTCACTTAGGCCCAAATGAGATTTAATGGCTGCCACTGACCCATATTCCTTCCTGTGTTTCCCTGGTAACCTCTAGCAAGGAACACTGCCCAAAGAAATGGAGCAGATGTCAGGGAATAACAAGCATCCTGATGTGGTTTTATGTATGTTCTTTCAGTAGACATTACTGGGGAGATGTGGGGAGAAGCCATGTTGGAAGCAGTAGCCATATTTCCCACCCATAACATCTGGTTCGAGTCTTATTATTTTGATAACATCCACATTTTTTTGATCTGGAGAGGCAACAAAGCTCATGGGCACAGTACAGCTTTTGCACATGAAAAATATGATGTTCAGCCCCCTGGCATCTCCATTCAGAAGAATCTCAGAAACCACAATGAAGAAAGACTCTTGTCTGCACTAGACAGACTGATCAGGTAAAAATCAGCATCCACTGTCAGTGTTGCAAATGCACAAATTGACTATGTCCCAGACCAGGGAACAAAGCAGGCGAAGAAGAGTAGACCTCCTACCTGCAGGTAGTGCACCCTGTCATGGGGCAATAGCATGTGATGCACTGGTAGCAGCTTAGCATCCCTTGGATTCCGTTTCATAGCTGCAGCACCGTTGGCATCAAATCGAACTTTGCAGATCCTCCCATCACCATAATCATCGGCAGTGCCATCTAGAACAGAACAAGGCATTAAGAATCTCTTTTCTCCACGCACACGTCTCTTCCTCCCTTCTCACCTGGGTGACATGTGAAGACAGAAGGCAGATTTTCATGATTGTCTGGATTCTTTAGGTCAGGAGTGGGCCAAGTATCTTGCAGATGTTGCTGGACTGCAATTCCCATTGTCCTTCTTCACTGATTATGCCAGATCAGGCTGGTGGGAGTTGCAGCTTTGTCCACCTTTGTTTTAGGTAGCTATTGCATAGATCCAATGGGAAATGTTTTTCTGAGGGCTCTGCCACAGTTTCGTACCTGTGCTGCAAACCTGCACTGAGCTGGTCCTGCGACTAAATTCCTCACAGTGCAGGGTTGCTACTAATCCAGTCTTAGGGTGAATGGCCTGCAATGACAACTCTGCCCCAAGCACAAAGAATATCCAGATTGGACTATGGCAAGCTGGTTTTGTACATCAGCTGCTTCTTTTCTTTGTAATGTTGGCAGACAGGTTCCAGGCAGGGATGCTACAGCCACTGGGCATACTGCCTAGTAGAATGAGGATGGGCAAGCTGGTGCTCTGGATTCTTTCCAATTCCATAATTCTTTGTGTAGGGAATAGATTTAGGCTGAAGGCAGATGGAATATTTTTAGAGCAACGGGGAGGGGGGCAATTTGCAAGTGTTCTTATTATATGCCGGGGTCCACATAGACATTTTGATGTACTTGATCAAGAGCTGTAAACCTTCTTTTTCAAATCTACGGTGTGACTGGGGAAACAACTGAGTGTGGAGGATCCTACAGTTTCACAGTGTGACATCTCCAGTCTATGCATATAACAGTAGCATTGCAATTTTGTGTGTATGTATTTTGTGAAACTGATGGAGCTGTGAACAAATGAATGTATGCATCCTTTAAAAACTGAAACCAGATACAGGAGGGTAGAGTCTAAAGCTACTGATGGCTGACCCGGCATTCAGCAAGCTAAAGTCACGAAGAATGTGATACAGGGCTCTCATCTGTAGCTGCTGTTTGAATTTTACACCAGCCCTGACTGTTATTTTGGTTTACGTTTACAGTTTTTCACCGTTATTTGGTTTTAACTAATTGAAGGCACACTTGCAGCTTTTATCTAGGATTGAACTGAGAAAGCCACCAGATATAATTCGTTCTGTTCACTGACTGCTTACAATTTGACTTCAGCAAAATGTATTTTAGCAAGTGCAACACAGAAGACAAGGGTCCTCTCCCCCTCTTTTTCCCTGTTAACTGGACTTGTGTAGAAGAATTCCCCAAATAAGATTTTCCTAAATATCTGTAGGTTTACAAGATGTAGCCGTGATAGTCTGTGCTAGCATATCAGGCAAAAAAACCAGAACAAAAATAAAAAAGAAGACAAAAATGTTATGGCACTTTAAAGAGTTACTGCTGCGTTTTAATGCAAACTAAATACATATCTGATTTATTTTGCTTATTTGGGTAAAATTGTATTTGGCCACTGCTTTTAGTGATAGTTAACTGCTACCTGCTTTTAATATCATTTTATGTTAGTTCATTTGCTATTAACCTTATTCACCATGAATGAACATCCATTTAACTATAATTCTAGTTAATCTGGAAGATGGACCCATTTTGTTCCAACCCTCCTCCATTAATTAGGGAAATGTGAATTGGAAAGTCTTATGCATTGTTTTTAAAAGTACATGCAGAGTAGGGAGGGTATAAAACATACATGTTTCCCCTTTAGGGCAAACAGCAAAAAGGGTGGTTCACACTAGGGAAATGGCACATAGAAGAAAGGTTAACCCTCCTCCTCACCACTGTTCTAGACCTCCTTGCCTCTTCCTCTGTTTTTTAAAACAGAACCAAATCTAGTGAGATCCTGAGGCTGCCCATCCCACAGCCTCCAAAGCCTTATCCACTGTTTTTCTGCTAACCTTTCATACCATGTTCTGCTTTCTTCTCTTAATACATAGAGGGGCTCACCATCATCTCCATCTTCCTCTGACATTATGGCCACACACTGTTCCCACACGGTACGGACATCAGCACGGTAACGTTCACAGGACCAGATGAAGGATGGGAGCAGCAGAGTCTGTACCATGGAACACCAGAGCACAGCCAGGACCATCCAGGTAGGAGCCACATCTAAGCGCAGGCTTAAAAAACTCACCACCTAAAGAAAAGGAAAGAATCAGGGGTGGAGAAAACATAAATAATGTCTTACTCCCTATTCCCAGAGCAGCTAAACCAGGAGACACATTTTTCCAGAGAATTGAAAGAGCCCGCCCATCAGCGACTTGGTAAGTTATATTTCGCTAGTTATATTTGCAACAGCTATAGTGGATAGTATTGGATTCAGAACTAGGAAATGTGGGTACAAATCCCTGCTTGACTATGAAAGCTTGCTTGGGGAGGGTGTGGCAAACTACTCCTTGCACATCTCAGATGCCTTGAAAAACACTATTGAGATCGCCAGAAACAACCTGATGGCACACATCAAAAATATTTTGTTGGATTTATAGACAGTCTCTGCAAGTTTTATACTATTCCAAAACTCTGCCAAACATATTTTATCATGGGGAACAACGACAGAAATTAATACATGCATTCATCATGGGAAATTAAGTTTCCTCAAACCCTCAGAAAATTATTGATAGTTACCAGCCCATCTCTTACCAGGAATAACAAAATGCACTTAGAAGGTGTCCTCTCCCCAGAAAAAAACCACACACCCCAATATGTGAAATTAAGCAGAAAGGGTATACTTTTTGTGCTGTGGAAATTGCACTTGGTAGTACTGATCAAGTCAATACTATTCTTCTCGTTCACCACAAGCAGAAGATGAAACTGTACATATCAGCACAATCATCTCAATTGGGACTGTCTTTTGTGGGGACAGTTAGATATTCCTATTAATTGTCATTGATACTTATTAACTGCATGCACTGTATCACTTTCCTGCTCATGCTGTGAACTGCTAAACTCTTAAATATCAAGGTCTGGAGAAGATGGAGATCACCAAAGCACCAGGGGAGGGGGACTCGAGTCATGGGACTCTCCGTCAAGTCGGACTTAAGTCATGCTGGTGACTCAACTTGTTTTTCTTTCCTCCAATGACTCAGACTCGATAAGTCATGCTGGTGACTCAACTTGTTTTTTCCCCTCTAATGACTCAGACTCAACTTGCAATTCAAAACCCACCCACCCCTCCCTTTTTTCCTCGGGAAAAGAACTTTTTTTTTTAAAAAAAAAATAAGGATTCAGACTTGGGGCTTGGGACTCAGGACTTGGTGCCAAAGACTTGAACTCAGACCCAAAGACTTGGCCAGCATCCCTCCAAAGTGCCAGGGGACACAGCCATGTGGCCAGGGGTGTGGAGAGTGTTGCCTTTGCCATGGGTGATGGTTTTTCCTCTTGCAACTGTTTTTCTCTCTTGAAATAAAATGTTTGGTAGTCAACTGTTCTGCCGGATTCAAATTTCAGGGACTTCCAGATGGAAAGCTTCCGGTGCTGCAAATCAAAGAAAACAGCAGAACTTCTCCTTTCCTAAATAGATTTTTTTATGTGGTGGGGAAAAAAAAGAGGGAAGAAAATCTAGGAAAACATGGAAGAGTATCAAGTGGGAGGTGATAAGAGCTGGACTTTAGGCAGGGCCCTCTCACAATAAAAGCTTCATTCGGAAGCCTCCTGTGTGTCTAAAGGCTATACCTCTTTTTGCAAGGGCACCCCATTTTCCCACTAAATAGCAGTATATCTGTTGTTGTTTTGTTGTCAGGACAGAACCGACTGATAATGATGCTGAACATGGAAGAGTATCAAGTGGGAGGTGATAAGAGCTGGACTTTAGGCAGGGCCCTCTCACAATAAAAGCTTCATTCGGAAGCCTCCTGTGTGTCTAAAGGCTATACCTCTTTTTGCAAGGGCACCCCATTTTCCCACTAAATAGCAGTATATCTGTTGTTGTTTTGTTGTCAGGACAGAACCGACTGATAATGATGCTGACTCTCAAGAACCCCATTTTCCCACTAAATAGCAGTATATTTGTTGTTGTTGTTTTGTTGTCTGGACAGAACCGACTGATAATGACGCTGGCAGGGCTCTCAAGATCAATGAGATATTTAAGGAGTGGCTTTATCTGCTCCACTCCCTCTGTGAGTTTCCATGGTTCAGTGTGGAATTGAACCTTATCCTCCATAGTCCTAGCCCATCACTCTATCCACTGCACCAGTTACTGTGTCGATGACAGTCACAGCGTCGATGACAGTCACAGCGTCGATGACAGTCACAGCGTCTGTGTAAAATATGGCTCACACTAACATTGCAAGCACTAACTCAGTGCATCAGAGTTTTCTGCAGCCTTTTCACTGGTATTTATTTTTTTGTAATGCAGTTTTTAGGCTCTGCTGTCATTATTATTCCAAATGTTAACCATCAGCAATGTTTCTCACAGTGCTAACATTTTATTTCTGATACACCCTGAATCAATAACTATCAGAAGACTCTTGTTCCGCCCACCACTGCTGGAGCGCACATCCATGGGAATGAACATCCCAGCAGCTACGTAGGCTGTGGCTGAAATAGAAAAGGATTGCAGGGAGCTTAAGTGAAACGAACAATGGCATCAAACAGGTCATACGGCACCTATCCCCTGCCCTGCCAGAGCACTGGAGAGTAATGGAATTATTAACATTCCCTCCTAAAAGAGATCAGAGATAGCACTGTATGAAAAGGAAAATGCATATCTTTTAGGTAGCACAATAAGCCAGAGAACCCTGGGAGCTTTGGCTTACTGAGGATGGGGTTGGGGAGGCACTGTCCACTTGCTCCCTCTTGCAATGCGAGTGGCTAAACAGTTAGGTAAATGATGCTGGTTTGGGACATGACAGGCAAGGTTTGTTTACTGTGATGTCCAAAACTGGCAGCAGATGGTGCTCCAGCTTGTCCAGGAGGCAGAGGAAGAATCCAGGGTTAGTTTTTATGATTTCTTTCTCTGGCTTGCTGAGATGGGCAAAAGATCTGCCACTTGCTTAGTTGCTCACAATGCAAGCAGGAGCAAGTTGGCAGTATACAACGATACACTGCTTAACCTCAAAAAGCCAAGGTCCCTACAATTCTCAAGCTTATTGTGACATCCATAGTTGGCCACTGTGTAGAAAACTCCTTAAAACCTCAGAAAGAAAGTTGCTCTGTCACTTCTTTTCAAGCAGAGAGAGAAGCCGTCTTTTACCCCATGAAAATCAATGAGATCATGGACACCGTTTTTAGCATTTGCTCCAGTGGTATCCAGCATTGACATCCATACTCTACCCTGGGCAATCTTTTTCTGTACAGAGGGGGGAAATTAAGTGTGGCATTTGAGAATACAACTGTAGTTAGGCCAGATACCAAGTGATCTATCCTGCATGACAAAGATTCTGCAGGTTCTCTCAGCTCAGTCCGTTTTCACTACGTCCACAAGGATTCTTCCAATCTACAGGAATTTCCTGCATAGATAACATGCATTGAACAAGTGAACAATAGCACAAACCTTTTGAAATTGTGGTTCATAGAATCTGTTTAGTGTATTGCAGGTCCAATAGGTGGGCCTAGGGAGAGCATGTGTATGACTGTACAATGTGACCTGAAGTGTGTGAGTTAATATGTAAAAGAGTATCCAAAAATAAAGACATCAAAGCTTAAAGATACTGAGTAAGTCTGGAAATCTTTTACGCACTTGTGATATAATCCACAAGCCCCTTGGGCTACTAAATGTCTGTTCTTTTAAGATAACATTATTTCAGAATATCAAATGCCCACACTGAAAAAACAAACAAATCCAAAACCTCTTGGTTTCTCTGTTGGAATTCCTTTCTTAAAATGATTTTAATTTACCAATTCTAAAAGGAACTGAGGATTTAGGGCAAAGATTATACCCTCTGCAGGCCATTCATGGGAGCACATCAAAGGCAGTTTGAAGCTAGAAACATTACAGTTTTGCTCAGTTTGGGACCATAGATAACCTGGTGCTTTTCGTGTGCATACTTTATTGCTTTCTTGGTTTTTTTTTCTTTTGTTTTGTTTTTAAGATTATTGTAGTGCTTCAAAACTTACAAAAACTTGAGTGTTCAGAGACAAGGTTGGGACAAAAGAAATCTACTATATGCCCATCCAGGATAGGGAGATTGTGACCTGCAAGCCACATATATTCACCATGCTCCACTTCTGGCTCACCTACTCTTCCCAGGTTCTACTCACTATCCTACCTTTGCATTCCCTTCCATTCTAAGCTATCTCCCAAGGATCATCCAAGCAGTGTAGGATGGGGAGTTCATGGACAAAGTTTCAACTATCTCAGTCTACGCCCATTACTCATTTGATAAAACAGCTGAGAAGTGGGGGGGGAGAGAGATCTGTGGGAAGAAGGAAGCAGATGACAAGAGGATGAGATCTCTCTTTTTCTGCATCCCCCAGCTTGCTGCATTTTCTGCAGGAGAGGAGCAGTGGGTGGGGTGGGGACAGGCAAATGGGAAAATGGAGGGAGGAGAGAGAAAGGAGAGAAAGGAAGACAAGAGAGAGAGAAGGAGAGGGAGAAAGAATGGGAAAGTAGGTAACGGGGGCAGAGAATAAGAGTGAGTGAGAATGGAATGGGGGAACTGGAGTGAGATGGTGTCAGAATGGAGTATGTGAATGTCAAGGTGTGGATATCTCAATGTGTTTGATTGAGGGTATATGGATATATGAGAATGGGAGGGGAGCGTGCATGGATGTCTGGATGGGTGTAAACAGGCTGTGCAGGTGGCCTTTTTCCTGCCCATTTGGGTTTGGTCCTCCCCAGTGTTGCCTTTGGCCTTTCCTAGTACAGTCGTAGCAGGAAGCTTACAGCAGGCTGCTCATGAAAGATTACCAATACTGATGTACACCATGGGCCACGATGTCTCTGCCTTAGAACCTTCAGTTCTCTCTACGGAGTAAATATAAAGGAAACTGAATGACTTTTTAAGGCATTTGTTTTCAAACTGCTTGTCAGGAAGCCTAAATATCCTTGGGATACTTCCTGGGGATTTCTAGGTTAGATTCTCAATAATAGCCAAGAAACTTCCCTGAAAGACAATCATTACTGATCTTCCCTTGCTGTGTCCACATGGAGGGTAGAAGTACGGACCTCATTCATTCATTCGTTTGTTCGTTCATTCATTCCTTCCCCACTTTTCTCCCCAAAAGTGACCCACAGTAGGATCACCTAGAGCACAAAACATGGCCTAAAAGAATAGAGTAATGCAAAAGACAAGGAAAACCGTGCCTAACACTCAGAGGGGTGTTTTGTTTTGTTTGCAAACAGGGCAGTTTGGAAAGATCCAGTTCTGAAAACCACTTTTCTAAGATCATGGGGGCATAGGGTGAGGGAAGAAGGAAGTACACCTTACCAGTATGGGTACTCCAGTCAGTGTGTCGTACAGGAACACAATGGCAGTGATGAGGTTCGTCATTTGCATGGAAGTCTTGGCAGATTCAGATCCATCCAACGAGGATCGTCTTTTGCCTCGGACATCCTCGACCACGATGGCTGGCACATTGAAGGTGTTGTGGGCTGAAGCGGGGCACGACGAAGAAGCTTCTTCCGTTCTCTGATGATGGCATCTGTGGTGCCTTCGGTGTGCCCATAAGGTCTGGTAGAAAGTAATGCCCACACAAACCAAGCCCATGACTATGCCTCCTAGGAGAAGCAAGCTGAAGCATACACCAAACCCCAGACCTATCTTGCTCACAATGAACTGGCAACCTCCAGTAAAGTAGCGTTCCCCATTGTTGTGCCAGCCAATGGAAGGCAACGTGGAGAGAATGAAAGATACCATCCAGATGCCCATCACAGCATGCAGGGCCTGCTTCTTGGCATTGCTCAGCCGGTAGTTGACAGGCCATCTCACCATCCACATACGGTGGTACGACAAGGAGGCCACGGTGAAGCACGTGGCCAAGGCCAATGTGTAATACGTGGAGACAAAGACTTTGCAAATGCTCTCGTTCCAGTCGTAGTCAGAGGATTCACGTCGCAACTGCACCACTGCATAGGTGGTGAGCGGCACAGCCGCCATGAGAATGTGTGTCCCTGCCAAGAAGCACAGTAACAGCTCCAGGGGCTTGTGTTTCTGTTGCTTGGCTGTGATGCTCAAGATTATCCAGGAGTTAGCTAGCAGTGCAAGCAGCCCACAAGCCAGCCACCACAAGGAGTTATTGTGCAGGGTAGCCTTAGACAGTTCCTCCACAGGGCTGCTGCCTCCCCCACGATTCATTGTGCTGTCTCCTCCTTGGGACTGAGAAATGACTAAGAAAAAGATCATACAAAGGATCCCCACAAAGGAGCCAGCGATAGCTCCTTCATCGACTTCCGAAGCGAAACAGGAGAGAGATGGACAGGAAACCTCTGGGAGGTACAGCCATGAAGATAATGGGCAGTATCTTATGCTGTTATTTGTTACCCTCTTCCTTCTTTACCCTCTTTCTGTTTTCTTCACTTCCTCTCCATTGATCCATCCCTTTTTTCTTTTCTCTGTCTTTCTTTTAGAGGGTTTTCTAGTTCTTACTTTGAAATGTATTTACAGAAAACATAAAATTCATGGAAACAAAACAAACATCTCTGTCCTCTGTGAGTCCCCCCATAATTCAAGGTCACTGAAAAATTCCTGCTATGTTTTTATGAAAGGTTAACATTTACAGCGAGTGCAGGATCATTTAAGGTCTTTACAGCTATCAGCTTGATGTGACTGAACCACCCCTCTTAGGATGATAGCCTATGCAGATCCTTGCTAGCTTGTTAAACAAAGCCTAGGGTCTTTGGTTGGTACATGTCATGTTTGATTAATTGGTAACCTATGAACTTAGTGATTTACAGCTCATCAGGATAATAGTTCTCTCAAGTTAGACTAGACAACTTTTGGGGTCCTTATAACTCAGCCATTTTGACTATATTCTTGTGTTGGTTATTTTTGTTATACTTGGCCCTGACAAATCTTTACATTACCTTGTGTGCACAAAGAGGCAGAAAAAGCATGTTTTAAATAAATAACATATTCAATGAAAAATGAAATAAAGGAGAGGAGGTCTTCTTCCTTCCTTCCTTCCTTCCTTCCTTCCTTCCTTCCTTCCTTCCTCTCAAAAAATTATTACCTCCCTTTAACAACCCATTAAGCTTTGTCTTCCTTGATGCATAAAGGATAAATGAACGGTAATTATGGGAGGAATGAATGGTAATTATGGAGTTGGCAAGCCTTGGTCCTCTTCGTCTTCAAAGGGTACCAAACCTGGTTTCTGCCACCAGCCTTTCTCACCAGTGAGCAATTCAGTGTCTGTAGGAAACGGATACCCTCCGCTTCTCAGCCAGGCCTTCAGGTTCACTGTCTCCCAGAACCATGTCTTCTGGTTTGGATTTTGTATCTGTAGGTAGACAGGCAAGAACCGCAGGAGGTATTAATCCTTTCACCTGAGCTCCTTGGCAACTTGGGCTCACAAAACCCTTTTTACTGTAGAAAGAACAAAAATAAAGACATAAGCAAATAGCTCCATCTCTTCCAGCCTCTACTCCCCCACTCATAGAAATCATTCCAATTTACCAGCCCACACAATGGGTAGTTAAAGGAGCATGTAGCCTATTGTGTCACATCACTGGATCAGCATGACACTGAAACATATGAAATGAATTCAACCATATTCCGGGCACATGTAATCTTCTTCACCCCCAGGAGTGTTCTGTGAAAGATGAAAGCTAAGGTGTGGAGGATCACTGTTACTTTTGTGGGTCTTTAAAGTCCCTCTCTGTTTTCCCATTCTTGACACCACCCAACTCTGCTCTAGGCATGAAGGAAAAAGAGCTAATGTCACAGGCAGATTTAATTCACACAGATTTAATTCATGGTTAAATGAAGATAGATCATTGTAGCCCATGGGGCACAACTCACAAAGTGTTCTTCTGCACAAGACCTCCTTGGCAAGAATGGGAACATAGCTCATGCTATGCCAGGGTCTTGATGATTTGCTATCCCCTGTTAATTGCCATGCATGTTAATTATCATGCATTCATTTGGATTTTTGCCCTTAGGCACTTAAAATATCTTGGATTAAATCTGCATACCAGTTCCTGTTTTAGTATTAGGATACTCTGCAGCAGTGGTCACAAAGTATTGTGGAGCAGGACCTCCTTTTTCTCCACTTCCAGGATACGCACTAACTGCCTTACCATTACTTTTAGTGATCCACCCAAGAAGCAGGCAACACATAGCTCTGCTCATCTTTCTACCCCCTTGAAGAATAGGGGTCTGTGTTGTGGCAGCAATTCACTTTTCATGCATGCTGTACCATACTTCTGATTCTACCATGGTTCAGCTACTGCTCCCCAGTCTTGCAGCAGTCTCCTCCCTGCTCAGGCTGATCTGAACATCCACAGAGCCCTGACAATGTCCATGTACCTTCATATCTCATGACAGCCTTTTTTTTTTTTCATTGCAGATAACTTGTTTGATAAAACTCAACCCATTCTGTCCAACAACTCTTAATTTAGCTCAGAATCATGTCTGGGACCCATTTGGTCTATAAGATTGTTTGGCAAAGATTATTGAGCTATACACAATCTCCTAATTGGTACATTTCAGGCTGCACTTGCTGGAACCTGCTGGAATAGTTCCAGAACTGAAGACCAAGAAACTGGGTATTTGCTGAGGAGAGTAGTGGATTCAGAGACGTATTTAACTTTAAAAAAGAGAGAGGCAATTTTTCAATGCTGTTCTTCTTTCTCCGAGTTAGAGTGCAACTCCACCTATCTCGTGTACAAATGCGTATAAAGTCTTGGAATCACTTAGCCAATAAGCTCACAAGCAAGAGTATCTAAAAGGCTAATGAAAGATCTGCTGTCCATCTTGTTGAACTTGCTTTTAGCTCTGCTCAGAATCCTGCTTTCTAGCTCAGGTCTTTCTGTCCAGATGATGATTTAGTCAGAGGTTTGCAGGGGACATGATAGAACCATTGCTGCCCATTGTAAAAGGCTTATTTTCTTCTGCTTGCTAACATTTCTGGTTGAATTGCTGTTGCAGGTTTTTATAATGCTTCAGCATCACACCAGCTTCAAGCATGCATCTACAAAAATGATCATCCATACCTGCATGTCAGGTGAACCAGTGAAGGGTACATGTTACTCATAAGCCACAGCAGGGCACACAGAGACTGCTTCTTGTTTTCCAAAGGGCACATTGAGATTTATCTGGATGGATTAGCAGAGTCCAAAGCCATCATGATGGTACTAAGCTCAACAGGAATGGGATAGCTCTTTCTTGCAAACCTTTCCCATAATTTCTGGTCAAGCCCCACAATTCTTAAGTGGGTTCTATCTAGGTTCTTTGAGAAAGCTTTATTTTGACTTCTTTTTGTGCATTGAGGTGCAGGCCTACACGATGCTTGGTTCCCTGCAAGCCTTCTGCTGGCACATTCCCACCCGACCCCACGCTTCCTGTTAAATGCCACCTCCCACTAACCTAGTTGTATCTCCAGATGGGAAGTTCTGTCGGACAAGGGAAACAAGTTAAAACTCACGGGCTTGTGACTGGAGGGGAAGAGGCAGAAAGAAGAGGAAAAGGAGGGGGAACAAGGTGACCCAGAAAAGACAGGGAACAAAGCAAAATGTGAGGCTGATATATATAAAAAAGGAAGCTTGGTGGAGATGGGCCAAAGGCCCTGCTGCTGCTTCCTAGGGATTAGGGAGAGGAAGGCATAATAAATGGTGACAGTGGCGGTGTGTGTGTGTGAGGGGGGGAGGTTGTCTCTCAACGAACACCCCCCCCCCAATGTCTTATCTTTAGGTCTCCAGCTTAAGCAAACTGCAGCTGGCCGTGACCTCAGACAAGTTGCCATGGTTATGTGGCTGAAGAGGGTAGGCCTGGGACGAGGGAGGAGAGGAGAGGAAGGCAGATAGTAAGGAGAGGGAGCAACCCAGACCTCTCTTGCCCTCCCCCTTGAAAGTGGGGGGGAAGGATGGTTTGGGAGGCAGGGTGGAGGACAAGTCTGATCTGTCGCCAGGGGCCATCTCAATGGCAACCACACACCACTAGAGACCCAGGTCTGCGCCGGTGGGGAGCGGGTCGGATCCTGGTGGCTGGCAGGCGGGTTTCTCGAGGGGGGGGGCGCGCGTCCTAGTGGGAAGGAAAGAGCAG